AACAGTGTAGAAGCTTAATGCTCAATTCATGAGAGCGTGGGCTCGAATGTTGACTGAGGTTACGTTCTGACGTCATTGATGTGCGTGACTCATTTTGCGAAAAATCTTCGCTTCGTGAAAACATCCCCTCGTTTCGTAAGCCTCATAAAGTTAATATTTCCTGCTTTAAAACCAACTTTTCTCCGTTATTTAAAACCACATTCGTTTAACAAGATTTCAGGACAAATTGAAACAAAGGAACAAAATATTCGATCATACATAAATATTCATTCGTCTTCATACTAATGTTTGAAGATTATTCAAATGACTGTAGGGGTCGTAAATAATATTAATAATTATGCGAAGCAATTAAGGTGTCTCCGCCGTTAATCCCGTCGCAATTAAAATACATCGTTCACGTTTTCAAAATAGAAAATATTAAACATTAAAGCCTGAGTGGATACACGGTTGCCCACACGAGGGTTAAAAAAAGGGGGTAGAAGTTTAGCGCGCACCCAATATCTCCACAATCTGTTGCATAAACAGACATTACAGGTCCACTAACGAGGGGTGGGTGTGCGACCTTTGTTCTTCTCACCAACCCCTATATCTGCTTCATCCTTAGGGGTGCTCTCTGTGTAGTAAACGATAGGACAGAAACCTTTCACATACTCGAACCGAATAACCATACTAAACGGTATCGAGCAGGTATCGTATATTCGCGTTCTATTATCTGTAACATGTGCTGATAACGTGTACGGTCGAGGGGGATACTGGCCACATATAAATCATTCTTTACTTCTACGCGATATTGTACGCTTATTTCTTTTATCAAGAATCCTATTGTGATTTTATGAGAAGCAAGTATCAGTAGATACCAAATATTCCTAGATGTCAATATCACCAAATATCTCTAGATATCCGTACACAAGAAATACTTGTAGATCCTAATGTCCCTATATAAATAGCACTGAATCACAATATCCCTAAACCAAATATTACTAGGTCCGAATATTCCTAGACCAATATTACTAGATGTCAAATATTACTAGATTCCAATATCCCCAGACACCATATATCCCAATATCTGTAGACACCAAATTCCCCTAGACACAAATATCCCTAGAAGCTGAACATTACTAGACTTCAATATCCCTGGACCTTGATATCCCTAGGCACCAAATATCGTTAGATCTCAATATCCCTAGACACAAATTATCCTTGAACCTCAATATCCCTAGACTCTAAGTAACACTAGATTTTAATATCCCTAGACACAAATTATCCTTGAACCTCAATATCCCTAGACTCTAAGTAACACTGGATTTTAATATCCCTAGACAAAAAATATCCCTAAATATTAATATTCCTAGACATCAAATATCAGCGGATCATAATATCCCTAGGCACTAAATATTATTAGGTTTCAATATCCCTAGGCAACAAATATCGTTAGGTCTCAATATCCCTAGGCACTAAATATTCCTAAACCTCAATATCTCTAGACTCTAAATATCCCCAGATCTAAATATCTCTAAATTCCAAATACCCCTAGATCCAGATATCCCTGAACTTCAAATTCCCCTATATCCAAATATCCCTAGACATCAAACATCACTAGATCCAAATATCCCTAGGCATCAAACATCCCTAGATCCAAATATCCCTAGGCACAAAATATCACTAAAAGTAAAAATTCCTATACTGTAAATAACACTAGATCTTAATGTTCCTAGACACCAAATAGCCCTAGATCCTAATATCTCTAAACTTCAAATATCCCTAGATCCCAATATGTATCCGCAGATCTAAACTTGAAATATTCCTAGACAATAATATCCCTAGATTACAATATGTATCCCCTGTTCTAAAATATTCCTAGCTCGCAAATATCCCTAGGTCTCCATATCACAAATTCTGGAATATCCTCCATTTCAAAATAACCCTAAACTCTAAATACCCCGTGATCTCAAATCTCCCTAGGTCCTAAATATTTGAGATTTCAAATATCCCTAAACCTCAAATATCCTTGAGGTTATTTAACATAAAAATCCAATAGAAAATAATGAAATTCAAGCGTCAGCAAAACTATTTTAAATGTCTTTCGAAATCGAATAACACCAGAAATAGGTGATTATAAAATGACTAAAAGCTTACCCAATTACGTCCCTGCAGAAGTATTCGCAATTTTATTCGGACCGTAACATAATTCGACCTCTGCTTCTTTTATGAAAAGTGTTCCGGCTACCTTGCCCGAGTAAGAACCTTGAAACAGCCACGATACGAGCGTGGATTAAAGATTTTATTGGCATTGAAGCAATATCGTTACTTTATCCCCGGCTAAATTTACGGGAGCGTTTTAACTTAATAATCGTATCATCCGATACGCATAGACATCACGATAAATATCTATCAAGCACACGAAAATTATTGCAGAAACAAGCCTTTTCGATTCGTATTTCGTTTTACGTTCGAACTATTCGGATACCCTTTACGACCACGGCTACTCGATAAAAAGGAAAATAAAAAATTCCCGAGAGAACGGTGCGAATGTCCTTGAGAAAATGCTCGATGGTTTCATTCGGTGGACATCAAGATCTGTTTCTTCGCGGACATCTGCAGAACAAACAGCGCTTTAAACGTATCGACTATTTTTGCTCGAAGAAACCTTTCACTGCAGCTAATTCCAATCAAGTAGCGCAGATCAACGATTAAGTCGAGCACGAAAGAGGAAGTTGCCGAAGCCAACTTTAACGAGTTTCATAAAACGATTACGATTCGATCAAACGTTACCAACGAAATCAAGTTCCGTGCATGATCGATAATTTAGACAATCGGGAGACAAATTTTATTGATCCTACGGGAAGGGTTTCCCTCGAGATGCCAAGCTTTACAAGTGTCCGATACTTGCAGACGTAAGTTGGCGAGATTGCAATTTTACGTAACATCTTCGATTGCACGCAGAATCCGAAAGTTGAAAAATGTATCACTGGTTAAAAGATGCGTCTTTGAATCAATAGCAACTTGCCAGCGCCGCTTTTTGCAAAATGGCTGAATAACTAAAAATTACAAACGAATCGATTAAAGGGGATATTGATAGAATACTCCAGAAGTGAAATCGGATATGAAAGACGAGCATCAAAGATTGAAAAGATATCTTTCACTTCTAACAAACGGAAATGTTTAAATAGAATTCAATTTTATAATTGAAAAAGCGACCGTCTCTGTAAGCAATTCGATCTATCTAGATACAATAAAATATTAAACTCGACTAAATTTTATGGATGCAAACAGCAAGTTTGTGACGAAGTCCCTAAATAGAACGACTTAAAAAACGGTCTAAAAAGCGTCTCATACGCGTATACGAAGAATCGATCTACCTAAAAAAACGTGGATTCCACTATAAAAAAGGAAGGCGTCACTGCGTTCACGGAGAGACTAGATTTTTTTCCATAACCATGACTCATACTCTTTAATTGCGTGACGAATTCCGTGGAGAAAAGCCAAGGACGTACATTTGGAACGCTTGCACTTTGAAGGAATTCTTATCTTCCATCTTCAAAAATCAAGTAAAGAAATTTCCAAATTTACACTTGAAAGTGTCCACATCTTTGTGTCCAACAAAAGTTCATAAATTTCTGCATTTGATCAAGTTGAGTCCTTTTGTGAGATTCTTTGACATCCTTCCAGCAGAATTCATTTCGTTTTAAAAATTCGAATAATCCAGGAGCTAGAAATTAAAAAGCAGTTAGAATTGGGCAACTCAAAGGACACCTGACTCATTTGGTGGGGGTCGTTGTAATTACCAGGTGACCGACAGTTGGCGCATGCGCAGTAATTGGGTTAATGGCGCCCGGCGGGGGTAAATGCGCAAGCGCTGCAAGCGTAGCTGTCACTCGACGACCGACAGCCGAGCGGAGGTGTCGCAGTGGCTGGTTCTCGTGCAGGGTGGCTTGGTAGCACAGTGCGTGTGTGTGTGTGTGGGAGACAAATTTTATTGATCCTACGGGAAGGGTTTCCCTCGAGATGCCAAGCTTTACAAGTGTCCGATACTTGCAGACGTAAGTTGGCGAGATTGCAATTTTACGTAACATCTTCGATTGCACGCAGAATCCGAAAGTTGAAAAATGTATCACTGGTTAAAAGATGCGTCTTTGAATCAATAGCAACTTGCCAGCGCCGCTTTTTGCAAAATGGCTGAATAACTAAAAATTACAAACGAATCGATTAAAGGGGATATTGATAGAATACTCCAGAAGTGAAATCGGATATGAAAGACGAGCATCAAAGATTGAAAAGATATCTTTCACTTCTAACAAACGGAAATGTTTAAATAGAATTCAATTTTATAATTGAAAAAGCGACCGTCTCTGTAAGCAATTCGATCTATCTAGATACAATAAAATATTAAACTCGACTAAATTTTATGGATGCAAACAGCAAGTTTGTGACGAAGTCCCTAAATAGAACGACTTAAAAAACGGTCTAAAAAGCGTCTCATACGCGTATACGAAGAATCGATCTACCTAAAAAAACGTGGATTCCACTATAAAAAAGGAAGGCGTCACTGCGTTCACGGAGAGACTAGATTTTTTTCCATAACCATGACTCATACTCTTTAATTGCGTGACGAATTCCGTGGAGAAAAGCCAAGGACGTACATTTGGAACGCTTGCACTTTGAAGGAATTCTTATCTTCCATCTTCAAAAATCAAGTAAAGAAATTTCCAAATTTACACTTGAAAGTGTCCACATCTTTGTGTCCAACAAAAGTTCATAAATTTCTGCATTTGATCAAGTTGAGTCCTTTTGTGAGATTCTTTGACATCCTTCCAGCAGAATTCATTTCGTTTTAAAAATTCGAATAATCCAGGAGCTAGAAATTAAAAAGCAGTTAGAATTGGGCAACTCAAAGGACACCTGACTCATTTGGTGGGGGTCGTTGTAATTACCAGGTGACCGACAGTTGGCGCATGCGCAGTAATTGGGTTAATGGCGCCCGGCGGGGGTAAATGCGCAAGCGCTGCAAGCGTAGCTGTCACTCGACGACCGACAGCCGAGCGGAGGTGTCGCAGTGGCTGGTTCTCGTGCAGGGTGGCTTGGTAGCACAGTGCGTGTGTGTGTGTGTGTGGGTGCGCGCGCGTACACGCTTAACCGCGAACGAATGCAGTATAATGTCCGCGTACGTGTCCGTTAAAAGTTTCCAGGATCACCGAATAACCAGTGCACCGACATAGTGATCGTTAATCGTAGTCGCGAGTGTTTTCGTGACTTAAGTCGATTTCTGTCAAGTGTAGGCGTCCGCCATCAACTGTCATCGTCGTGTTTCGATCAGTTCAGCACGTTTGTCAGAAAATATAGGAAGTAGTTCGACCTAGGTTTCGAAGGTAAGAAACGAGAACGTCTTTGAAACGATCGATCGTGAAACGCGTGGATTTTTCTTTTATCTACGCCCGTCTGACGTTTCACGTATTCTTTGCCTCCTTGTATCGATTTTAGTGATATTTTTACTTGGAAAAGTTCGAGGTTTCCTTGAGTGAACATTATCATTGATTTTGTTATGCGAATCTGTCAACACTCGTTCGTCGACATCTTGTGGCCACTGCGCATCGTGTACACTCCGGTCCAATGTAGGTTTCCTTTGGATAAGGATAAATGTAGGGGAGGAAATTAATCTGTAAACTTACACATTTCTAAATCTAGAAATTTCAAGTTCTAAAATATCATAACTAGTTATCACATTACCAATATTCGAATCCTTAAATTTTCAGATCTGCAAAAGTTCCAAATTTTAAATTTCCACGTTTTCAAATTACAAAATTACGGCGTCTTTACGTCGCCATTTTTAGAAGCCATGCTCGCCAATGTACGTTCAAAACAGCGATACAACCCTTTATTGTCGATTCGTGATTAAATGTGAGTCACTGTGCGAGCATTGCGCGGTGCATGGTTTCTCGAATCGAATGTTGATATCGATAGGTAATCGATGTTAGCTGAGTTATTTTCGACCGATCAAACAACGATTTATATCGCATTTCTGATTCTATTAAAACAAGATGAGTAAAAGAACATATTTGCTCATGAATCAAGATATCGATACTGTGGTAGGAACAACGTTAATCTGATTGGACTGAAACATGTTGCAACGTCAATCGTATTCAAATCGATTATGGATGATCGAATTAGAGGATTCAAGCGTCGACTAATCGGAAACGTGAATTTCGTTGACCGGAGTTGCTGTGAAACTCGAACTCCCCCGTTGCCGTTATCGATTACACGGCAGCGATGTTTTTACGTTCATCTCAAGAATGTACACGCGCAGCGGTATATGTTTTCGCGAAATTGCACTGCATCGCTTCCGGTACGGTTTCCATCATGCTCTTTGCAATTCGATTTCACCAGAATTACGTTTATGACGTCACACTTTCTTTATGGATGTTCTATTTTTTCCTAGGGAGAATTGTAATTTCAGCAACCTCGTTGTTTAGTACTCATAGTTGAATATTTGTCAACGAAGTGATATTTTTTAATAAATTCATCAAATATTAATCTTTAGATGTTACTAGTCAAGCTCGAATATTCGCCCAGTAATTTTTATTAATATTCGAATCAATAGAACTGCGGGTAATAAAATTAACTAATTATTATGTTTACTAAATTGTAACATACTCTGTCATTTTCTGGTACCTTGTCTATATAGAACACCGTAATACGATTTGTTCGGAGATTACGTGTTTAGAGCGTAGATATATGTCACTATTTCACGTATGCTTCCATATTTATCACGAACCCTTCTCCTAGGAAAATGACGTTAGCGAAGAAGATTATCGTCGAGTGTAATTGCGAAGAAACGTACAATCAATTAACGTCAACAACGTTAATGGTGATTTAAATCGCAACTCATAAAATCAAGTGGATTAACGTGGCACTTGTGCGGACTTTTCAAGCGATTCGTATCAGTGCGTAGTCAAACGTCGATTGCAGTTTTGCAACTCTCGACTGAGACTATCGATTGAATGGTGAAAACGATATCGTTATTCTCGTATCGAGGATATTCATGCTCGAATGTTCCAATTTGAAGATAATTCGTATTCAGTGCACTTCAAGTACAATCAGATAATTATAACCTTTATTGTATTTGATTAATTATATTCCTTAATTATTCTAACCATATATATGTCACTATGACAAATGGTTAAGGCAAATAATTTTTAAATCCGAATTAAGAGTTTTTTTGCGTCTTGCCTCAAATGGCATTGCGTCATCGTGAAGCGTTTTTTCTCCGATTAAAATGTCACTTTCGTTTACCCAAGGTAGGAGATAATAAAAGGAGGATTTCTATTGGGACAGCTTGCCTTTGGCGAAAGAATTTTTCCTCGGATTCTTTTCGTTACGTAACACACCGCTTTATTATCTTCTTTACAAATAAATAATTCACCCCAAGGCGAAAAGCACGGAAAATAGAATCAATAACTTCTTGTGATGATAAAGTCGGTTCATAATTTATTCACAAATGTTGGACCGAAAATTTTTAATAGAATAAATTTTAGTAAATTTTATTGTAAAATAACTATTTATTTAGTGGTTGTGTCAAAAAATTAAAAACGTTAATTTTCACGTCAGTGAAATGGGGCCAGTGTCGTTGCGTGAATTTTAGTTATATTTTTCTTAAAGTGTGGAAATTTACCAGGTTCTTCAGCAGAAGAAATTCATAAAGGATGATCTCGTGTCTGCTCGCACGTAACGCAACGTCTCGTTTCATACGAAAAGGGTTAATTAAAGTTCTGTTTCTGTTCCCTTTAATCAACTTCCATTTCTCGCGAAGAAACTTCCATCTGAAAGCCTTTGAATGGCGCATTAAGGATGTTCCCTTGCGTAGTGTTGCGAGTATAAATAGATTAAGAGTATACGTAGACAGATTATCCCGCATTGTGCGCCATTGAAAGGGCCAGCTTCTTGGCTAAATCAAACTTCCGATTCCCAACGGACTTTTTAAAATATGGATCAAGATATTCGTTTCAGAGAGTCGTTCTCTATTGGATGAATCGCGGAACGTCTTTACCGCTGTATCAGAGACAAATAATAATACCTTTGTCGGTTAATTGTGCCTATCGCTACGGGGAAATATTGAATTACGGAAGGAGGAACGCTGAGATCAGCTTCTAGTATTTCCTTGTTCTAAATGCATCGTATCGATCTATCGACAAATACGTGAGCTTTTGTCCTCTATAATAGGCTGTTGTTTCAAACAAGAAACGGTGTTTCTTATGAAAATGAAGTACGGAGCAGTCGTACATTTAATAACGCATGTCAAGAGAAATATTAACCCCTACTGTGCTCAATGGTCATATGCTATCACCTCGTTAAAATCTTTATATCAGGATGTTCGTACTATGTTTACAAATTACTGAACCTAACCTAACTCGTAATGACGATGATGAAGCATTAAAAAGTTATTAATAATTCAACGTGATATAAACTAAGCTTAATTTAGTATAACAATTTTAAATAAACAATAACACTGACCTAACCTAACCGAAACAAAATAGTCTAACATAAATTTGAACAAACCTAACAATTGTGACTTAACAGCGATTTAACTCTAACTTAACTTTAAATAAGTCTGACCTAACTCAGACCTAACCTGTGGTAAACCTAACCTCACCTAGACTTGAATTTATACAAGTATAATTTAGCTCTGACCTAACCCTAAATAAACTTAACTAAATCGTATTAACAGTAAATCGATCTAACCTAACTACTGTTAACGTAAGTCTCGTCTAATAGTAAGATAATTCTAACCTAACCTAACTTTAAATCGGTCTAACCTAGCCCTAACTGGACCCTAACTTAGACCTAACCTAACTAAAATATCCTAAATCTTATCTAACCGTAAGATAACTCTAACCTAACTTCACTTCAGTCTAACTTAACTTTAAATCGGTCAACCTAACCCTAACCTAACTTGTGGAAAGCCTAACCCTGTCTTAAATTTATACAAGTGTAATTTAACTCTGACCTAACCCCAAACAAATCTAATTAAGTGTTACTAACACTAAATTGGTCTAACCTAACCCTAACTTAGATCTAACTTAATTAATATTAACCAAAGTCGTATCTAACCGAAATGTATTTGCAATCTAATCCAACTCTAATGTAACTAATTTCACCTAACCATAATTTATCGAACGCAACCTAAGCACTAACCCATCATAATCTAACCTTAACGTAATCGTAAGCTAACATCGTTTGCGACAATATTATTAAAACGTACAGTTAATTTATATTTGGATACGAAAATTACGTAGTGTATTATTTTACATTTCATGTTTGTAACATGATACAACGAAGAGATAAAAGTTTGATTAAACTAAATGCAACTTTCGCACTATACCGGGAAATTTATTTCGTAGAAAATCAATCGATGAGGTAAACTTGTCGGTCATCTAGATTCTAAAGATTTCAGGAACTAATTTTACACCTAATACGACTCTTCCATGTAGCTGAATAGGCAAGAATCGAGAGAACGTCGATAAGTTTCCAGTGGAACGAGTCAGCCATTGGCGAGACAGGCTATAGAATGGCAAGCTGTCTGGAAACACATACATTTTCCGATAAATGATTTTATTTTATTTTCCCGCACTCCAGTTATGAAATGTAATCATTTTTCTCAGTGATATTAAGTGTAATAATATAGTCAAATTATTATTAAAAATTAGTTAGTGAATTGTAATTTTATAGGGTGTTATGTGAAGTAGAATAACGATATTTTCTCACTCGCTATATCTGTTCGAGTATAGTTTTTAGAGTACAAACAGTAATCGGATTTAGATGAAAACGATAATTCCGTGCCTTTGTTTGCTTGTCGATTCGATTGATGTATATTCGCTCGTTTTCCGATTGTTTCGCGACCAGAAGGATAATTATCCTACGATCGACGAACCTTTTGTCGAGAATATCGATTCTCGACGTCCTCCATGCACCAGTTACTCTTATTGGTGGGTAATCGACGCCATGAAATTCCGTGTCGAGATTCGATCAACGTCTAATTAAATATTCCCTAAAATTCAATAAAACCCTTTCAGTGTCTCAATACGTGCACATAACCCTTCATAATTTTAACTCTCCTATATTTATAACACTTTGTACGTAAACAACGATCAATTTTAATCAACTGTTCTAATCTTGCAATTAAGTTATATGTGGAAAATGAAGTTTACTTGTCATGCGATAAAATGTCAAATCAATTCAGGTAAGGAACAGATATTATAAAATATTATAACCTAATAGATTATAACTTGAATATAACCTAATGTTATAACCTAAAAATATTATAACGTAATATATTACAAGCTGAATATATTATAACCTAAAAATATTATAACATAATATGTTACGACCTGAATATATTATAACCTAAAAATATTATAACGTAATATGTTACAAGCTGAATATATTATAACCTAAAAATATTATAACGTAATATATTACAAGCTGAATATATTATAACCTAAAAATATTATAACCTAATATATTGTAAGTTAAAAATATTATAATTTAATAAATTATAGCTTAAAAATATTATAATTTAACTATATTATAACCTAATATATTACAACCCAAAAATATTATAACAAAAATAAGAATTTTAATGTCAAAAAAGTATCAAATAATTTTAATTTATATCCGGACATGAGTAATTAAATAACAATTAACAAGAACGTAAATTATAACGAGTAGAAATGAACGGTTACAGATAAAAATGAATAGAACGATTTAAATGGGACTTCACCTAACCTAACACCGTTTCCTTCATTAATTTGAGAGTACAATTGAGCTCCATATTTTAGAACGAATAAAGGACTCAGCGTCGTCAGATAATTTAATAGGAATGAACATTTGGTCGAAAAAAACCCCATCATTTTAATTAATCCTCGAATGTGGCTTCAGCAGACCATTCGATCGTGTCTTTCTCTTCCGTGTTGCTAGCTCGGCTAACGATGTCTTTTTATTCTCGCAGAGAAACGAGGAGGAAAAAGAAATAGTGAATCACCAGCACCGCCGCCGTCGTGATCCGACGCTGAATTAAAAACAGAAGGAAAATGTCGTCGGTAAAGGTGGCGGTGAGGGTACGGCCCTTCAACAATCGAGAGATCTCCCGCGAGGCACAATGCATCATCGAAATGACCGGCAGCACCACTTGTAAGTATAATTCGTTTCGTATCGTCTTATGTTTCTATCTGGTTCTTCAACTTCTTGTTATCACACGTTTTCTTCGTGACCCCGTTTGTCGTTTTTATTCCCTGCTAATTGAATTAACGCTTTTTTTTTACCTGCTCATATAAAAAATGTGATGGTATTTTTTATTTATTTGTTTTCCAAGTTTTTAGTTTACCAATTTTCTGTTTACAATTTTCATAATTTTCCAATTTTCCAATTTTGCAATTTACCAATATTCCAATCTTATAATTTCCTTAATCCCTAATTTGATAATTTTCTACTCTCTAATTTCCCATTTCCCCAAATTCTCAACTTACTAATTTCTCAAATATACAATTTACCATTTTCCCAATTTCCTAATTTTGCAATTTACCAATATCCCAATCTTATAATTTTCTAAATTCTTAATTTGCTAATTTCCCACTCTCTAATTTTCCATTTTCCCAAATTTCCAACTTACTAATTTCCCAAATATACAATTTAACATTTTCTCAAATACCCAATCTTGCAATTTACCAATATCTCAATCTTATAATTTCCCAGGTCCCTAATTTGCTAATTTCCCACTCTCTAATTTCCTATTTTCCCAAATTTCCAACTTACTAATTTCCCAAAATTCCAGTTTACCATTTTCCCAATTTCCTAATCTTAAAATTTACCAATATCCCAGGCCTATAATTACCTGAATCCCTAATTTCTTAATTTCCCACTCCCTAATTTCCTATTTTCTCAAATTCCCAACTCACTAATTTTCCAAAATTCCAATTTATCATTTTCCCAATTTCCCCATCTTGCAATTTACCAACATCCCAATCTTATAATTTCCCAACTCCTTAATTTCCCAATTCCATAATTTCCTACTTACTAATTTCCCAATTCTGCAATTTCCAACTTACCAATTTTCCCAATTTCCCAACTTTTCAAATATCCACCCTTGTCTTATCCAAGGTCACGTCCAACTTATTTATTCAGAATGAGGGTACATGTAGGAACTTGAAAAGAAAATAAAAGTGTGTAACTTGTATTGTTATTGACTTTGTTCCCTCTTTTTTGTTACAGCGATATTGAATCCGAAAGCACCACCGGGCACCAAAGATGCAATCAAAAGCTTCAACTACGATTATTCCTATTTTTCCATGGACGTTAGTAATTTTAATTTAATATCTAACAAATATTTTTCAACAAAAAAATTATTTATAATATTCGCATATTGTGAAATCAAAGTATTGAATTTGATATTGTAAAATACACTAATAGTTTTGTTTATGAATTTTATTGTACTATGTACTATGAATCTCTTTAATTTTAATGAAACTCTTTATAATGTGCGCAGTTATCGTTGACTATAACTACTTAAATACAGCAACAGTTAACTTTAGTAATCTTCTACGATAATTAGGAAAATTTGTAACGTGAAAGTTTGAATATAAAATATAAAAATGCTTCTTTCATTACAGCCAAACGACATAAATTATTCTTCACAACTGATGGTCTACAAGGATATCGGCGAAGAGATGTTAGAACACGCCTTCGAAGGTGAGCCTACTTTCGTATACAAAATGGAGGATTCACAGCATATCTGGAGTTTGATTCTGCAATTTCTCGAATACTTCAGACACTGAGCATCCAGATTCTCATATACCACGGAATTCACATCTAGGAATTCATACGTGTGTTCGCATACCATTCAGATAGGAATTGGGCGTCCAAATTCTGAAACATTCTTGACACATATCCGATAATCTTGAATATACATACATTTGCTTTCAACTGGGCTTCAAAATAAAAACTGACCAAAATGAGAAAATGTATCTACTTTGTAAACTTTATACTTTGTAAATTCTCTAGGGAGAAGTATAGTAAAATATGAGTAGGGAACATAAATCATAAATAAATTTATTTCTGTTACAACATCTCAAAACTGCCCTGAATTTTAGAGTATTTATTTAGATTAGAAATTTGTGTAACAGGTTTTTAATATTAAATCTTCAATGACCACTTGGAGGCTTAATTACCCAAGTATTAATAATCTTAATTCATTATACTACTCTATAGAATTACCTACAATAAATTATTATCCAAATAGTGTTACATGATTTAAATATTTTTATTTTATTTACATACAGGTTACAACGTGTGCATATTCGCGTACGGGCAAACAGGCGCCGGCAAGTCTTACACAATGATGGGCAAGCAAGAAGAAGGTCAAGAGGGGATAATCCCTCAAATTTGCAAGGACCTCTTTAGAAAAATCAGTCGCAATTCAAACGAGTGCCTGAAATATTCGGTTGAAGTTAGTTACATGGAGATCTACTGTGAAAGGGTGCGAGATCTCTTGAATCCCAAGAATAAAGGAAACCTCCGAGTACGAGAGCATCCTCTCCTCGGACCGTACGTCGAAGATTTGTCAAAATTAGCGGTGATGTCTTACCAGGACATCCACGACCTCATCGACGAAGGCAACAAAGCGAGGTACATAAAACTCTCAAAAAAAAATTGTATTTTTCTTACTGATACAATAAAATTTGTTTCATTTCAGAACGGTTGCCGCCACAAACATGAACGAGACGTCAAGTAGATCTCACGCGGTGTTTACGATATTTTTCACACAACAGAAACAAGACTCAGCTACCGGATTAGTGACGGAAAAAGTCAGCAAAATTTCGCTTGTTGATTTGGCAGGCTCTGAAAGGGCTGACTCTACCGGTGCGAAAGGTACCAGGTTAAAGGAGGGTGCTAACATCAATAAAAGCTTGACTACCCTTGGAAAGGTCATCAGTGCCCTGGCTGAAATCGTGAGTAAATTTTTCTTTCCCATAGCTGTACAAATTCTGTTAGTATGATAGTAAAGCTTCCTAAAACTTCTAACCTTTTACAAGTTGTCTAGATATTGCTAAACTTTGTGTTAACATTATCCGTGTCTTCTGTCAATTTTGCTGCCATCTTGTCATGGACTTTTAGGCGGTAAGTTCGTGTATCTATGGTTCTTCACTTCAGACATGACCAAGAGGGTTTTTTCTATGATTCAGAAAAGTAGGAAGATGGTGATTTAATGTAGCTTACAAGTCACTTGGTCATGTCCACTTTGCTAGACTTAGAAATCACTTGGTCACGTCCACTTCGCTAGGCTTAGAAATCACTTGGTCACATCCACTTCGCTAGGTCATCCCCATTGTTGAAATTTTAATTGTTCACATTCATTGAATATTGTCATACATAAAGGATAGAACTTCATTTGTTAATGTTTCCAGGCTACCAAAAAGAAGAAGAAGGCTGACTTCATCCCGTACAGAGACTCCGTTCTAACATGGCTTCTGCGAGAGAACCTAGGAGGAAACTCTAAAACAGCAATGATCGCGGCAGTGAGTCCCGCAGACATCAATTACGACGAAACCCTCTCTACTCTACGGTATATCTCATCTCATTCCGCTTCTCTGTAAACACATTTATTAGTTAGCTTCCCTGAAGTATCTACATTTCTTCAGAAATTCACTCATGCAATTCGGATGAAATTGTTGCTCATTTATTATTCAAACATCCAAGAACCTGCGAGGCATGAATTATAGATGAACTACTCTTATCTCTTGTTTCATAAAATGTACATTGTAGTTTTCTTCTCAAGGAATCAGTACTCTGAGAGATAAGTTACAATAAATCAAAATGTTTTTATTTGATTTTTTATTGCAGATACGCCGACAGAGCGAAGCAAATTGTTTGCAAGGCTGTCGTCAACGAGGACGCGAACGCGAAGCTTATTCGGGAGCTCAAAGAAGAGATTCAGAAACTGCGGGAGCTACTCAAACAAGAGGGTATTGATGTTCAAGAAGGTGAGCTTTTCTGCGTAGCATCGCTCGAATTTCAGAGGAAGATCTTTTATCCACACGGAGACTGGTTTTAAATAATAGAACTTTAGAAACTATTTGTTAAAGTTTAAGAAATACTTTTGATTGAATTGTACAATTTTGATAAGATTAGTGATATAAAAACTTGACCTTTGAGCGAAGAAAAAGTAAAGACCCTTTATTAAAAATGTAAATATAGGACAAGGGAGAAAAAATTGTAAGAAAGTAGCGCGCAGTAGGCAAACCATTTACATAGTACATTTTTTTTTCTTTGTTTCCCCTGTGCTTGACGTAGGGCCAGATGGTAAAGTCACATATGAAAAGAAAGAATCTAGTAAGTAAAATCACCGACAATCCACGTAATTGGATAGTCTAATTCAAAGCCAGGCAATCGATCACTCTTTTTGCGCCTGTTTTTTTGAACGTCCGCTTGATTCACGGCCAAGTGCATAATGCGTGTCATATATCTCTCTTTTTCTATTTCCTGCGCTCTTTCCTCTTTCTCTCTGTGTTTTTGTCGAATCCACGACGAAACTTTACGTTTGCTTCGCGAATCGCCATTCTGTTTACTTTTGACACACGTAATCAGCCCTGTGGTAATAACCAGCGCCTGATAATAATCGTTGTTCTCTGTCTCTCGTAGAACGCCATTAGCGGCTTTTAGCGTTGAACGTTTCATGAAAAATTAAGCGACACAGCTCTTAATTTTGAAAAATATGTGATGGTCTGAAGATATTTTAAAATGTAGCAAACTATGATATTATTTAATATTTCATAGGGGAAAAGAAAATCATTTTCATTAGGGGACTTGAAAAAAATTAATATGTTAAAATTAATTTTAGAGTATCAAGACATATTTAGAGCAGTGATGGGATGTGTGGAGGTTGAAGCTATTAGAGAACTTATCAATTTGTGAATGAAATTTGTATAATTATTTGTAAATTTTTATTTGAGGAAGGGTCTTGGATAGACACCCATCACTGAGTGAAAGAGAATCTGACGAGAATCATTGATGATACAGAAACAATTTCAGGCTTGATAGTACTCCATTGTGTCGAAATTCCTCCTCCAGTAAACACATGTTGTTTGCCTCGCTTTATCCACTTACAATTAGATCCATCACATTGTTCCCGAACTAGCCTAAAAATATTGCATGGCACTGGGCAAATCGACTGTTCGACACGAGCACCGTCGATTAGAACATTTGTGAAAAAATCGACACCGTATTCAAGCAGTAATACATATTTTTGATTGGGCGCTACGCTTAATTTGCATAAACACAGCGACGTTTGTACACGATGAAAAACATATTGTAAAACATCTATAAAAATTATGAATTTGGTATTTTAATATTGTAAACACGTTGAGTGTCATATACATCGTCGGTGACCCACGGTATTTAGAAAAGACAGCCATGCATAATTAATTAGACTTTAATTTGTGAACCTAATTTTAAATATTTGTGGTAAATTTCCACATGGCACTCAACGTGTTATTTCTATGATAATATTTTGTCTCATGTTCAAATCGAAACTATCTGTTGTACGATAGTCTGAAGACACGCAAATTGGACATTCCCCTATAAAAATTGACACGATTTGACTGCTGATACCAGAGAAATATTCACGTCATTTTCCAATCAACTGAATTCTCTGGTGAAGATCTCGATGAGAAATCTTGAAAAGATTCTTCTCTTTCACTTACGCCACTGCTTTAGTTATGGCTTTTGATGTTTCCGAGACGCGAGTTAACCCTGGATCATTATCAATATTTAATTTTTGCGTTCTGCATTTTAATTGGTATCATTTGTTTCATAGGAGACGAAATCGTCAGAGCAACCAAACGCGAGGACGATGTGAAGGAAACTCGAGCCAGGATCCCGTCTCATACAACGTCCACCATTGCTGAAGAAGCGGTGGATCAGTTGCAAGCTTCAGAGAAACTGATAGCCGGTAAATGTGAAGTTAGAGATATGGAGATTTAGATATTTAATCTTTTACGAGTTTGGAAGTTGCAAAATTGAAAAACAAACTGTTATAATTATTTTACTATCAGATTTCGCATCAGATATTTCAAAGAGATTAACCTACTATCAGACAAACTACTAAACCAACCTACTAAACTTAATGATCATACTTTTAGAACTCAATGAAACCTGGGAAGAGAAGCTGAAGCGAACCGAGGTGATTCGCCTCCAACGCGAGGCAGTGTTCGCCGAGATGGGTGTCGCCGTAAAAGAGGACGGCGTGACAGTCGGTGTCTTCTCCCCGAAAAAGACTCCTCACTTGGTGAACCTGAACGAAGATCCCCTCATGTCTGAATGTCTGATCTACTACATCAAAGATGGCTTCACACGCATCGGTAGCGCTGAAGCAAACATTCCTCAAGACATTCAGCTCTGTGGTCCACATATACTGAGCGAACACTGCGTCTTCGAGAACCACGAAGGAATTATCACGTTGATGCCGAAGAAGGGTGCTTTGATCTACGTGAACGGACGCGAAGTCACTGAACCCGTAGTTCTGAAGACTGGCTCGCGCGTGATTTTAGGGAAGAATCATGTATTCAGATTCAATCATCCTGATCAAGGTAAAAATCTACTTTCATAAATTAGAAGTTGAGCAGAGAATAAAGGATTAATTTGTTCCACAGTCCGAGAACGGAGAGAAAAAGGATCTCCCGCGGAGACTCCCGGAAACGGAGAGACAGTCGACTGGAATTTCGCACAGATCGAGTTGCTGGAGAAACAGGGAATCGATCTGAAGGCTGAAATGGAGAAGCGGTTGTTGGTTCTTGAAGAACAGTTCCGTAAAGAGAAGGAAGAGGCGGATCAGCTGTTCGAAGAACAGAGAAAGGTAAATACAGTTATGAAAACCTTGCAGAGAAAAATCTTTCAAAGTCAATTCTTGATTAACCATATTTTTTGCAGAGCTATGAAGCTCGAATAGACGCCCTGCAGAGACAAGTTGAAGAACAAAGCATGACAATGTCGATGTACAGCAGTTACACCCCTGAAGACTTCAACAACATCGAGGAGGACATCTTTGGTGAGTACTGAATGATCTTTGAATTTCACAATCTAGTGTATGTGACGATAGCGTATGTCTGATATTTTATGATTATTAAAATTCACAGCAGAGTTGTGCTAATTATTTGAAGCAGACATGATCAAGTAGAGACTAATTCTCAAATGTAGAAATTTTGTAGTTGGAGGTACTTGATTATGTCTGACTTCTGCTGAAATCGCGTTTACACAACTCTGTGCACGATTAAGCTACGATACTGATCGTACTATTTCCTTCGTTAAAAGCGAATCGAATTTGTAATGGTAAATCGTATACGCACCGAAACGTAGAAGTTCACCAATCATTTGTTCCATTACAAATTCAACCATTCGTACGAGATGATCAGATGATGGTACGTAATGAAACATGATCATTTTCTGAATGTACGTTCTGCAATTTTATCTTTCAATTAATTGCGATGCACGCATGTCAACTATCTGATTCTGACGTTCTTTCTTCCACTTTGTTCTTCTTGAATCTTTTCGTTTGAGAGTTCCGAGTTATGTTTACTTTAGACAGATCGCTTGTCGCAAAACAGTGAACGATGCATCATCTGATCGTGGACAGAGCGTGGTGGTGGCTCCTTTTAACGAAGGAGAACCGTTATCCACGAAATGCTTGGCTTCTCTGACTGTTTTTCCTGGTAATTGCTTGCATTTCAGTCAACCCATTGTTTGACGCAGAGAGCAACTGGACCGAGAGAGAGTTCCAGCTGGCCGCTTGGGCCTTCCGCAAATGGAAATATCATCAATTCACAAGTCTTCGGGATGATCTCTGGGGCAACGCTATATTCCTCAAAGAAGCTAATGCTATTTCTGTCGAACTCAAAAAGAAGGTACATTCGTGGTTCATTTTCAGATGAACTCACTGGAATCAAATTTCAACGTGAATCATTCGCATCTATACATTATATGTACAGGAGGTTCACAACAGTTGGTCAAATTTTAATAATAGATTTATCATTGGTACAATTAGGGTAGACACTTCATCTCACAAACCCTAACATCTTAAAAGTTACACATTTTCAAGAGCCTTGATCACATCTGGGGTGGGACAGCAATTTTACCACAACTGTTTTAAACACTCTGTACATTTCAACTTTCATTTATGCATCACAAAATCATAAGACATGTCTACTCAAGGTTTTTAAAAAAAAAATGTTCAGAATGCTTCTTCTGTAATTAATATCTGGAGCAATTTTTCGTACCCCCTTTTTGATGTTCTATGAATCATATATCTAATACTACATATTTTAGGATAATGAAATTAAGCCCTTCATTATTTTGCGTCTCAATAATTTGCATAAACTTTTGTTCTCATTAATGTTTATTTAAACAATTCTTTTTTTCCTGGGTTATTGTACATATTATGTTGTTTCTAGGTGCAATTCCAATTCACTTTGCTCACGGACACACTTTATTCACCGCTTCCTCCGGATCTCTTGCCGACTGTAGATGAAGACGAAGAAGAAGAACGACCGTTCCCGCGCACGATAGTCGCCGTCGAAGTCCAAGACACGAAGAACGGCGCCACACATTATTGGACCCTCGATAAATTAAGGTTTGTTCTCAATTTGCTTCGCGCAAATATGTGTTTACCTTATGTTTCATTTTTATTTAGAGGTGAGTCACGTAAGTTGGAAAATAATTTTCAAGTTACACGAAATAAGGTTACTGCAAGCGATTATATTTCTTCAAACTTAAATTCAGGAAAATGTCGCTGCTATACTTTATTTCTTTTACACTCAGCTGTAATGTAGGCTTCTCTTGATTAATCCTTAACATTTTACAGCTTTAAATTTTATGTGAGAGATGGGAGTCCAGTTATGTGTCATTAAGATGGACAAAATTGTGAAAAAGTGTAAGCTTGCATATATTTAATTAAGAGAAACCTAGATTGCATGAGGACCGTCAACATCTGGTAAAAAATATTAATTTCCATGTTCTTTTACCGTGAATGTATATACCATGTCAGTAAAAGTGGTGACAAGGAGTTTGCAGAATAACAAAACTGTATAAAATTGAGTCATGATCATCGCTTGAATCAGATACGTGCTTGGACAAAATCGCACGAGGAACACTCACGCAAGTAATACGTGTTGACTTGTAGACAGCGCTTGGAGCTGATGCGCCACGTGTACAACGAGGACTCGAGCCCCAGCACTCCGGAGGCCAAAGAGGATATTTTCCAATGTCTAACGGCCTACTCTAATCCGAAGTTCTCGCTCGCAAATCTTTTGCCTTCGAGGTTGGTGCTCGAACGCGTGACACTCTTTCCTCCTTATCGTCACACGCTTCACGCCCATCCTCAAATTTTACGGATTGCTCTCAAACGCCGCTCTTGATCTCGTCTTTCACCGTTTCCGCTCTCTTTTTAATACACTGTCTCGACTTCGAATAATGTCTTTTCAAACGAATCCTCTGCTTTGTGATTGTGCTGGCGATTCGGATACGTCGACCGAAGGACTATGCATGGCCGAGCGTGTTTATTCCTTGGCATTCATCAGTACAACATTTCAACCCTTGTTCTTCTTTCCTTTTTTGTAATTAATATGTTACAGTTTATATGAATCAAATTGTATTATGTTTAATTTGATAACTGTAACGTATTAAATTAGAAAGCGACTCAGAAACTAGTGTACGTAGATTTTCTATTTTTGTACTTCGAATTGCTGTAACTTGTAATTGACGATAATGTAGACATTCTTTTTGTACAATGCGCTACTGAAAGTTAACACTAAGAATGTAAAGATATATGTAGATATACTAACTTATAACTTATACGTATATCTATAGATATAAAGAATCTAAGATAGGGACAGTCTAAAAATATGGAATTTCTATAGATTATCTATTGCAATCTATATTTATAATAATGTAAGATTCAGGGATCTTTAGAAGTGTCTATGTATAACACACACGTTTCGCTTATATAGTGTAGATGTCCTTTGGAGTTCATCTCCTCCTACACGTATCAATAGTGTCTCGCTGAACACGTGCGCTCCTCGCGACTGATTCTCTCACATTCTTGGTGCATTATTGCATAATGACTTCGACAAGTTTAACCGAAAATCACGTAGACCACGTACTTCAATAGCTTATATCCGCAAAACACTGTACTACAGCTTTTAAGATTAAAATACAGGGACAGAACCTTGAGCTTCAACGTTGAAATGTTGAATTGCATTTTGTAAAGCTGAATGTCCCTTTATTTGAACATTTTTAAGATACGATTTCTGGATACATGTGAACGCCTACAACGCACACGATGTTTCGAAAACGTGAATGTTAATGTATCGAGTGTCCTTCACTGTGCTTTTTGACGATGTTCGACTATGTCCTTTATCGGCGACGGATATTGAACCGAACAGCGTACGGATTATGTGTTTCCGTTTTTGTGCAGACAAAGACTTGAACTGATGCGAGAAATGTATCATAACGAAGCTGAACTGTCTCCTACCTCTCCGGATTTCAATATCGAATCCATTACTGGAGGTGATCCATTCTACGACCGTTTCCCATGGTTCCGAATGGTTGGCAGGTAAATTTAGATTTATAATGCTTTCATAAAAATTGCTATGAACTCATACTAAAGAAATTTTCTTTATCGTTACAGGTCTTTCGTGTATCTCAGCAATCTCATGTACCCAGTACCATTGATCCACAAAGTAGCGATAGTCAACGAAAAAGGAGACGTGAAAGGTTATTTGCGTGTAGCGGTACAAGCCGTGGTTGGTACGTAATCAGTGTCTATATATTTTCTTTATTATCTGACCTTGAATGTATTTAACCCTCACCTGGTTGAGGGGAGACTTGTTATATAAAGGTGGTAGGGTAAAGACAATTCAAGCCCAAATAAATAGTACACGCAACGATAAATATAAGCCTTACTTATATAAGTTTAAATTAGTTTAATAACAAGCATCAACATTTGAAACTTAAGATAATTAAGATCTCATTGTAATTTTAGCAGGGTGAGATAATTTGAAAATTGAATAATTTATTATTGGAACAAAAATGTTTTAAAGTAGACTGATGACTGACAAGTCTAAAAGTTAGTAATTTCTCCTATCTAAAAATGAAGTTATCGCTCGACGAGATTTTGGCGTAGGATTCTTCGTAACGAACCCATGTTCCAGAAGAGGAAAACAGCGAATACTCAAGTGGCGTCAGACAGTCCGCTAGAATCTCCTTCGAGGACGACCTCTTTGGCAACCAGAAGCAGAACAAACGTAACACATTATTGACCCAAACTCTCGAGAAGAATCGACAAATCCTCCTGCACGAAGAACGCGTCGTAGAAGGCCACAACGAGCAGAAGGACACAAAGGAAGAAGACGATATTGGCGATGCTGACAGTGGCAGAGGCGATAGTTCGGTTTCCAGCGACATGAAGGAGGAGGATCTACCGGATCATTTGTTACTCGGCTCTGAATTCACGTTTAGGGTAACTGTACTGCAAGCGATGGGTATCTCCACCGAATACGCCGACATCTTCTGTCAATTCAAGTACGTTTCAATTCGCTACATAATGATAGAGATGATGTCATTAATAATTAATTATTATCTGCAGTTTCTTGCATCGACACGATGAAGCATTTTCAACGGAACCGGTGAAAAACACAGGAAAAGGAAACCCACCTGGATTTTATCATGTGCAAAATGTGGGTTACTTGCATTAAAAATTAACGTCATACAGTTTTAAATGAATTGTACATTTGCAAATGTTTAAGGTATCACATTGTGTTATGTTTATCACAAGTATATTTGGATTGTTTGGATATGAGTCTTCCCAAGTGCATAATTCATTTAAAACGCTTCTTGCAAGCTCTATACAATACTTTGTTCATTTACCCTTTACATTGCTTATTCAGATCACCGTCACGGTAACAAAATCATTCCTGGAATACCTCAAAACTCAACCCATCGTGTTCGAGGTATTCGGCCACTACCAGCAGCATCCTCTACACAAGGACGCCAAACTGGAATAGTAAGTAAACTGTAAACATTAATTTCGTGTAAATACATTTGACACGATGAACGTCTTTGTTAAGCAGCGTACGACAACCACCGAAGAGGATGCTTCCTCCATCGATACCGATCAGCCAACCCGTACGTTCCCCGAAATTCGGAAGCGTTCTGCCATCGCCTAGCACGTCCCACGTGCACGCCAAGTACGACGTGTTAGTATGGTTCGAAATTTGCGAGTTAGCACCGAACGGCGAGTACGTGCCATCTGTGGTGGACCACAGCGACGATCTGCCGTGCCGTGGACTCTTCCTGTTGCACCAGGGTATTCAGCGTCGCATCCGAATCACTATCGTTCATGAGCCAGCGTCCGAATTACGATGGAAGGATGTGAGGGAGTTGGTCGTAGGGCGTATCAGGAACACACCGGAACCAGAGGAAGAGGACAACGACTCGTCGGTGCTCTCCTTGGGTCTGTTCCCTGGAGAATACTTGGAGGTGCCCGGAGACGATAGGTGCATGTTCAGATTCGAGGCTGCGTGGGACAGCTCTCTTCACAACTCGGCCTTACTTAACAGAGTGACAGCGTATGGAGAACAAATATTCATGACCATCTCTGCGTATCTTGAAGTACGTCATAGGATGCTGGTGATTACAGAATCTATTACTAGTTGTTGATCCATGGATTTCTGATTGTTGTACCTCTTTGTAGCTGGAGAATTGTGGACGACCAGCAATCATTACCAAAGATCTAAGCATGATCATTTATGGCAGGGACGCTAGAGTAGGACCACGTTCCCTGAAACATCTCTTCAGCGGAAGCTACCGCAATCAAGAAGCTAATAGACTCAGCGGCGTTTACGAGCTGGTGCTGCGTCGTTCTTCGGAAGCAGGTAGCCCAGGTTTGTCTTGCTACCCTTAGCGTAGTCCCCTCATTGCCCTTTCCCTTCCCGTCGATATAATAGTCGCCGTTAAACTGTAAAATCGCATCGAAGTAATGCTTCGTGTGGTTCCTTAGACTGCAATATTCGATGACTATTATATCATGATGAATTGGCTATTTTCTTTCTTGCGTTTTGCTTTTATCAGTTTGTACTTGAACAAAATTAGAATTTCGCTAAAATACGTCATTCTTTCTGACGATTCGCTTCTTCATTCGGTACCTACCCCACCTTCGCAACTGTTTTCCAGGTGTTCAAAGGCGACAGCGCCGTGTGTTGGATACAAGCTCCACGTACGTGAGAGGGGAAGAGAATCTTCATGGATGGAGACCTCGAGGAGATAGCTTGATATTTGATCACCAGTGGGAACTGGAGAAGCTGACGAGATTAGAGGAAGTAGAGAGAGTGAGACACACGTTATTGTTGCGAGAGAAGCTTGGCATAGACAAGGTTTCGTTCTGCAATAAAATATCACACGATTTCACCAAGAGCGAAAAGGTATACTTCAGAAAATTTAGATGAAGTGTTAATGTAGTACTACGGATTATTTATAAGCTACTGTTATCGGTACAGGAAGTTTGCAATATGATGGCAAAAGCAACAAACGAACCGCATGCCAGCCCAGTCAAACTAAAGCGTTCAACGAGTAAAGACGTGTATGAGCCATGGGAGATGACTGAGAGGGAAAGAGAATTAGCCACGAAATATATTAAGCTAATTCAAGGTCGAATTCCGAATAAAGAACCTATACTACTTTCTGACGTTTCACCGGGAGAAGACACTATGGCTGACATGTCGACATCCATGATGTCTTCGGTGATATCGTCCTCGTCCCAAGAGTCAGTATACGAGAGAGCTAGTGATTACTTAGAGCAGGTAACCCTCCCCGCATGCCTGAGTGCTCCTGCTAGTAGCGGTTGTCCACGCTTCGTCGCATCATTTTACCTTGATGGCAAAAATAGATGTTTTCGAGATTCAAAGAAAAACGATACTCCCTTTCTTCACTCAGCGCTGCTAAATTATGTAGTCGAACATTGTGGAAATACTAGCTTAGCAATAGCAAAAAAGTACAGAACAGATGTGTGGGTATTCAAGGTTGTAGGCTTAAGTCAACGTTAAGTAGACTTAAGTAAATTTACTCGCACATCCCTAATTTGACCAAAAATTATTAACGAGTGAAGACAGCGAGATTCGATTCGATTCAATTTGAAAGTCGAACCTCCCGGTTTCGGAAAACAAAATTTCGCAAACTTTGATAAAAATCAAATTGAACTTCCACATTTGCTTTTGAAATTGAAATTTATCACGCAAAGTTGAACAGCTTCGCCGAGTTAACTATCGCGCTTTTAGCGCAATCAGCTTCTACGAATTACTTGCGCTTGATGTCTATTTTGAAAACTGATAGACGACAACTCGAGACGCTCGAGTGAAAGACAACCGCCAGCACGTTCGGACACGGTCAGGGTGATGCTGGAGTGTTACTTGCAGGCTGCTGGTATAATAGTATGGAGCAGGTCTAAGTCGTGCATCCTTAGGTTGAGTTCACCGGAGAGGGCTAGACTGCAGGAACTGCAGGAGAGCATATTAGCAAGCGAATCTGCCAACCAAACGTGTACCGTAGCGCCCGCTCCGTTAGGTTCATCTTCCCCATCCAAAGAGAATCTGGTGCTCTACGTGCCGGAAGTCGAAGAAATTCGCATTAGTCCGGTTATCGCTAGAAAAGGTTATCTAAATGTTCTCGAACACAAGACCAACGGTTGGAAGAAACGCTGGGTTGTATGTATTATACATTATTAATTAAGTATATGTATACACTTAGATGTCTATATCAAGTTGTTTGTTAGGCTGTACGACGACCCTACGTTTTAATCTTCCGAGAAGAAAAAGATCCAGTTGAGAGGGCTCTTATCAATTTAGCTACTGCTCAAGTTGAATACTCTGAAGATCAATTAGCTATGGTGAAAGTACCAAATACTTTCAGGTAAATTAGTGGATTGGCAACTTAGGCTGTAGTTGCATATACACTATTAGATTTCATTATGAGAAATTTTCTACATATACTAATAGTAATGTTCCTTTTAGTGTTGTTACAAAACACCGAGGGTATTTGCTGCAAACTTTAGGGGATAAAGAGGTTTACGACTGGTTATATGCAATTAATCCTTTACTCGCTGGTCAAATCAGGTATGTAATCTGTAACCTTGCAGTCACTTGAAGCGGTAGAACTAGACGGATGACTAATGAAGCTAAAACTGTTTACAGGTCAAAATTAGCGCGCAAAGGACCCACAGCTACGAACCTGATTAACGCATCGCCAGTTGGTCTAGCTCCACCGATAGATCAACAGTCGAACCAAAATAAGTGAGTGGTCGACTCGTTGGCCGAGGTAACAAGCGTCATTACGAAAGCCTCCGAGAAAATGCTATGCTGGTCGCACTCGGCCTTCAAGTCCCATGATCTTTATAGCTTTCGATTTTCGGTAGTCTTCGATTATTAAACGGCTCGGGAAAGCGTATTATTGATCGGTTACTAGCTTCAATGGCCGCCGATTAATATGTCGCCACGTCTAATTTAATGACCATCAACCCTTTTATGCCTGACGACCGAACAGAGAAACGCTAACAATACGAAGCGTTCGTATTTCGAAACGAGTCGACAAAAAAATTGAACGCATTTATAAAACTAATTACTTTCCGTAATCGCGAACTCCGATGACAGAGTCTCTCCGTTCGTTTCGTAGCCTGAAACGTGTTCAAACGTTGACGAGACTAATGGAGCCCGCGATTCTCACTCTTACAATATGTATATTCAAATTTCTCGATATTAGTCGGTCGTGCGAAGCGTGGAACGCGTAAGGCGAAAAGGAACGTATTTATGCCTAAATAAAACATTCCTAAGACGATCATAGAGGACTACGGCAAGAGATACACATTGTTAGGTATAATTACATAAAAAAGAGAAGATGATGGCGCGCGAGGAAGTAAGAAAGAGAGGGAGAGAACGGAAAGGGAGGGAGCAGTAGCGAGATTATGAATTTCTGTGTGTTCATGCCTGGAAAATTCTATACCCAATCTGTGGGTATGGATTGCGGATTATTTCGAACGAATTGTAAACACGGTAATCGTTGAATAATTGTTAGCGATTTGTTTGATAATCCTTTAGTCCTTTGTTTCGTGTTGCGTAACGTTATACGCCTCGAAGAACGAATACTTGACTAAGTAGGATTATTGAAGCCACAGTTGGTTTCGTGACTCGAATTTCTATTCTTACTGTAGATCAGTATTCGAACAAGGAAACGGGTTTCGGTTTCAAGGGAATATTTTTACAACTTAGGAATAGATTACAGTATTATTTATTATAAGTTTCTAGGACAGGGTTTTCTAAAATCTTGTGGGCCGCAATTATTAATTGGGACTTTTGTGTTACTTTTTAGAATTCTACATTTTTTAAATTCAAAAGTGCTGAGAGAAACTTGGGAATTTGAAATTTAAGAATTTAGAATTTTGAAAATCTTTTAATATTAGAATTTGAAAATTTGTGAATTTAGGTGTTTGGAGATTTTATCTCAAAAGAAATATGAAAACTTTTTACATTTTAATATTTAACACTTCCTCAATGGGTCCACATTTTGGGAATCTTTATTCTAGAATGTTTCTTAATGCAAACATGTATCTTATTGTTAGTTTGGTTAATTTGAAGTGTCCATTTTTTAAATTAACTTATTTCAACATATACCAAAGATTCGAGAGAAACGATTACCAGGTATCTACCGGATACCAGAGTAGATAAACTTGCAAGTTTCGAGGCGGTTTATTTTCTCGGTCATTTTATATGCGGTGGCCTACAATATGTATGCCCCGCTCCTGTTACCGTTTTTGCTTACTAACTGTTGTAGAATATGATAGTTTTATTTTGTTAATGACACGTATCGGGAAAGAACGAGACCGTAATAATCTGATAAGTTGTACGCACTCGGCGTTTAACCCTTTGAAGCAAATATTCAGACAAAACAATTGGACGAGAAATTAGTAATTTCTTTACTACTTTTAATATATAATATTTATCTTGTAGTATTTATTGTAGTTAGTTAAATTTTGTATATTATTAATTTTGTCTTATGTTATGTACTTGTAACCATAGTATCCAGATTCGTGATTGTACCCCATCGTTCAGGCTACCACGGCTATATCGTGATTATTCATAATTGTAAATTGGAATTGTCATTGCATTTACTTAACATTGCCAAGTGCATATTGTATTTAATGACCGCAAGTTTTCGCGTGGATAGTTGCTATACGATTCAAAGTACAACTATTATTTACCATTGTATTACAGGGGTAATTTAATTTTATATTTTATTCATATTGTTACTTAAATTCTCTTATTGAAATAAATAGTAATTGGTGTTGCAGAATAATGAGAAACAGTATATAATACTATTATGAGAATATTAATTATTTTGTTAAGATTTGTTTCACCATGAGAAATAATTTATAATTACATTTAATTCATTGATTTTGTGTAAGGGAATAGAAATCTGATTATCAGATTCATGATCTCTTTGGAATAAAAAAGAGTGCAATATGGGTTGATATTTAAATAGATTTCTCATCCTTTGATCTATGAAACTATGCAATATTATTTAGCCTTAATTATTTATTTATCAAGAAATAACTCAGCTATAGTATTGCTAGATTGTTATTCGTGTTTAATAATGTACCAAAAAGACTCCAAATCCTATTGAAACATAGGGGTGGAAAAATCCATGTAAGATAAATATAAGAGGTTAATATAAGAATTATAATATTCATAACTACCGACAAAAGGCACATTAAACATGTGAACTGAACGATATAAGAGGTATACTCTCTGTGCATTGATATTTTCTAAGATGTTTATTGTATATCTATAAAATAATTGTACTTTAACAAATATAGAATTAAACTGAAGACTTACGAGATGCGCTTTTACACGATAAAACAAAAATAATCTATGCATAATCAAATTGTTCATTTTTTTTAATGCATAAGAAAGAAACTTAAAAAAATAATACAAGCGCATAATACATTTATCGAACTTACAATAGTATTTACATTTTCCATCGTATTAGTTATTATTTAGTTCTTGTACTAATAATGAACAGAGTAAGCAACACGAAGCAAAAAGAAACGTTGCTTCAGGGGGTTAAAGTCTTAATTTATTATTATAGAAAAGGACGAAGAAATTGGAAAGTAAGGGGGAGTAAAGTTAAGGAGACACGAAAGTGAATGGAAACAAAGAAAAATGATACGAGCGTTGCAGATGAAAAAAAAATGCAAAGCGTCATTGGTAAGATTAATAATCATTGTTGTTATTAGGAGTCAAAATACAGAATTAAAGAGAGATAAAGGAGGAAGTAAAAGGGAGAGAATGAATTAGTGCTTGTGCACTGTGAGAGAGTGAGTGCGAAAGGGACAGTGCGAAAGGCATGTTTGCTTATATATATATCTTATACAGATAAAGTATATTATATAAATATATAAATAAATTTAATATTAACGTAACAATTTTGTCAAGTGTCGAAGATCATTCGAAGGCGTACGAAGAATGGCTAACGATGATTTAATCTGTACCAAGTATGTAAGTTCATGTACTTGTTTGTAAGGTAACTAAAAATCTATTGCAAAAACATTTTCGTTTTTGATCGTTTGCTATGAGAAACATGCATCGATGCTGTAACTTGTATTAATTATTATTATTATAATTATTCGATTTTTCGCTAGACTCACTGTAAGTGGTAACGTGTAATAAATCGGTCAATAAAAAGCTTACATGCTTAACGAATTCCTTCTATAAGGGTACCCGCATTTTACGTTTAAAAATATATTTTCATGGGTTAAAGAAAAAAATACATTTTATTTAACCATTAGAAAACCACGTACATTAATAGTGAATTTATCAAAATTTTGTTCGAATTGGAGTTTATTCATACAGCTAGCGTCCAATTGTATATTTTCAGTTAATTGTATAAAGGCATTAGCTAGTCTTTGCGCATTTTGTTGATCCATTTGACTTGATAAAATATTCTGTACAATCCGCTGATACTCGTCTTGATAACAACATATTAAATAGTAAAATGGGCCACCCATGCATGGTACAAGATCAGAGTTAATTTCTTGAGACCAAAAAGCATTAATAAGTACCTAAAATAAATTACAATAAATTACAATAAATTACAATAAATATAAAGCTGCAAAGACACTGATCTTAAATGATAACTCACATTTAAAAACGGTAGCATTACAAGATTTCGTGGTCGCCCACTTGAGTTGTCTTTGTAAACCTGAATTGCTAAGAGTTCAATAATATCGCAACATATCATAGACACAAGATCACCAAAATTAAATAAACCTGATTCTATTGCTGCTAAAAGTCGTTGTAATAATTCAGGAGATAAATTGAGTACTTTTTCAGGAGCTAGTTTACAAAATGATATTACCATTTTAAAATATCTGTAAAATGTTGTGCGTCAGTTATGAAAGATATTAATGAGTTACGCTAAATTTGAATAGGTACTTACTGCGAACATAATAAAGGAAACTTTAATAAGTCTATAGTCATTATAGGCACAAACATACTTGCACCACAGAGAAAAGCATCTATTGCATCTCTGTTAAATATTTCGTTAAGATTCATTAACAGATGCATTAGTAACATAATATCCTCATAGTTATCATCTTCTGCAGTTGTGCTTGCAGTTCTTCGGTTTGAATTGAAATGTGTGTAATTTTGTATTGTGCGTAAACATATTTCATACATCTGTGCAGCCTCAGTCTGAAAATATAATTGCATACAAATTTAAAGTATCACAATTAACATGCTGACTACTATGCTGAAACCACTGAAAGTTTCATTACAGAGTATTTCTAATTAAATAAATGAAAGAATATACTAGTGTGACAAGCACATGTTAAAAGTAACTTTACCTGTGATAAGTAATAAAGGGCTTCACTTTCTTTTGTATATACACAGAGCAACTCGAAAATTAATTCCATTACTTCGTGATAATTATGATACAATGATAATAAATTTGGAAGTTCGCGCAACAGTGGATATATATGTTGCAACAGCAATTCCGAATTTTCCTGTTTCGTACCTTGTCCAACTCCTATCATAATATTAGAACACTTCAATGCTATATTATGGCTTTTCAAAATATTAGACTACATTTTAACATACTTAACTGAGGCTTTCAGAAATAAAATATTAACAACATAAAAAGGTTTGAAACATTTTACCAATAAGACGATCCAAAATATCCATAACTTGCATTTTAACATCCTCTCGATGATAAGATTGCAAAAATTTTTCATCTGTGGTAAGTTGCTTTAGAGGCAATTTATTTAATAATGGTTGTAAAATCTGATTCCAATAAGAATGTTTTGTATTCGTATCTTGAGCTGCAGAAACAATTTGACCTGCTGCTTGCATTAATCCTCTTTTAACTAACCGTGGGAGGTCATATTGCTCTTTTGTTGCTAAATTTACAATACTTCCAAATCGTTCAGACTTCAAGACGTAACTGGCTCTGAAATCATCGTTTTAATCAATATTTATTAATTATGATATCAGTGTTTTCACATACCTCTTTGGTGATTTGACGAGTGATAATAACAAGTTAATAGTTTCAGTCATTAATGCTGGCTCACTCTTAAAGGTGCTTATATTGAATTCTACTTTTTCTATCAAAAAGTTAACAATCCATGATACACCAGGCGTATCTCCAAATGCTTTTATAAATATAGGAGGTATTTCAAGATAATGACTTTCTACCAGTGGCAGGTAATTAAGAGATAATTTACATAAAAACCATGTTATGGTACAACTTAATTCAGGACTTAACATACTGTCTAAATGAATAGATATTGCAGTTTTCTCTATAGCACACAAACGAAATACGTCAGCAATTAAGCGTATGACATGATCTATTGATTCAGTATTAATATTAATATCTGATGATATATTGTCTGAAGATGCTAAGAATTGTAGCGTAAGGTTTACATCAACCTTTCCTTCTTGTGCCTAAAAAATATTATTATATAAATCCTTTTCTTTATTATGATTATGTAAATTTTTAATTGTTAATTACAATTCTTTATATTCATACTTTATGTACAAACCTGTTCTCTATCATAAGTAATTATTTCAGAAGGTATCAAAGCAATTTCACCTTCAGATTCCATACAAAGTATATTACCTATTATAAGCACTAACCAATGTATATCTTCATACAAATTAATCATACAACTATTTTCTAATGATTCAGTCCGTCCCACTAACATATTAAAATTTTCACGCATTTTAGATATACGATTTTCTATTAATTGTGCCAACAGTGGAAGAGAATGATGTAGTATTTGTCTTCCAATAAGTCCTGAGATGAAAAGCAGTTTTTTTATAACAGAAGTATATGCATACATGGTGTACGTATCTGTAAAATTTACCCATTATTTGTAAATGGTCCTTAAATCTGATCCTATCACTCTCTTCACAATCTTGTTCTTCCTTTTCAAGAGACTTTTCTTCAATATTTCTTATACCTTCCGGTGGTGCTAAACGATATCGAAGATATGTATCAAATATTTGAATGAAACTTTGTTTACAAAAATCAAAACTTTGTTGATTTTTCTCAGACAAAATATACAGCCACGAATCAAACAAAGCATTTAAAGCTTCCATGTATAAAGATTCGTCAACTGCTAACTGCAATAAATATTTTATAGTAATCACACTAATATGAAATATGAAATTTAGGATTACACATAATAGTACTTACCGATTTTTCTTGTGCTGCACTTTCCAAAAATAGGTATGTTAATCGCGATAATTGTTCCAAAAGCAATTTGATAATATCTTCAGATAAATATTTAGTTTGAAAAATTATCAGTTCTTTTACTATATTAGCAATTCCAACTGCTTCTTGGTCGATGATATCAACGCTTGTTACAAATTTTAAAAATCTCTCCATATAATTAGAGACGTACTGTACTGTTTTAGAATCTGTTGCAGTATTTACATTTGCTAACTGACCTAAACATGCTCTTGCATGGTAAGTTAATTGTGGATACTCTCGCACTTTCCAATACAGTGTAAAAAACAGATCCAATACACTTGGAAGTAAAAGTACATCTTCCCACTCTTCAGGTAAATTCAATGTATGACAATCAACTTCGGAAATAAATGTCATTATATATGGTGCAATGGAGTTAAGGGATTAAAACCAAAAATAATAAATTAATATTTACATATGGTAAACATTAAATAATATATTGTACTATTGAAAGGATATGAAAAGATTTGTTCAAAAATGGCCAAGAAAGTATATCCTCCAAAATTGGAAGTAACTGTTTAAGAAGAGCTATACTATCTTCCTGTAAATCTTTTTTAATTAACTCTTCAACTATTCTCATAGAAAATTTAAAAATCCTTTTCAAGTCAGGTTGGAATTGTCTTTTAAGTTCAATGTGTGCTTCCAATGGTAAATATATGTTTGAAGTTTTGCAATTGAATGCATATTCTTGTATTATTACGGAAATAAGATTACATGCTAAAAGTTTCTGTAAATATTATAAAACATAACATACGAAATTTTTTTCATTAAAGTAATAATATTTATTAATCTTATTTACTTGTGGTAAGTTAGCAGTCATTATCATGTTTTCAAGTTTGTCTAACATATGTTGCCGTTCCTGTCCACCATCATCTATGCTGCCTCTTTTGATTATAATTGCAATTATTTGTGATATGACTGCCCTGATATAAGCAGCTAAATTTGGTTTGCTTATAATATAATGGAAAAGATACTCTTTTAAAGAAGAAATATCTGATTTTGATAATGTTGACCATTCTCGTACTAATGCTATTTTGATTAAATCAGCTGCTTCAAAAAGAATATAATCATTTGTATTGGTTTCCAAAATTTGTCGACAAAGTTCATAAGGACAGTTAGTTTTTCGAAAACTTAAAAAAACTTGTTCAGCAGACTGACGTTGTTGTACCGAAATTAAGTTTGGTGGTGCCTAAAAATAAAATGTAATTATTAAAGAAAACATTTCAAGAAATGAATATTTATGTTCCTAATGTTCTGAAAAATATTAATCATAATTACAACTGACAAATTTATAAATATCTCAAATACACAAAACACCCACACATATTATATATATAATTAAAAAAAGAAAACAGTGAATAATTTTTTAATCCAAATAAATTATATTTTGGTTACAATACAATTAGAAATATTGTAATTAAATACAAATTCATATTTCAAAACATTAAAGATTAAACATTAAGTCCTGGTTCTTTCAATTTTCTTTTCTATTACATTAAATTTTTACTGTAATGTTTATTTCATTCTACAATACTTTTATATTGTATTATCGTGCGCAATTTGTTTACAAAATATTATTATAACCTTCACAGAGGTATTGAAATACGTTAGAAAACCTTAATTTACCAAAATCACTTCAGCTGCTTTTTCCAATTCATTTATTAATTGTTCAGCCATTTGTTAAATATCTATGATTTTCTTTTATGCTAAAATAATTGTTTGCAAACAAAGTTTAATTGTGAAATCCGGCACACTTATAGTTCAATGCACACAATTTACTTGTTAGAAACCATTCTTATTTTCCGCTCAACGAGGAGTATGAACATAGTATAGGTATAACTATACTGCCTAAACCAAAACCCATATCCCTGTGTATGAAACTTAATTTTGTTTGTTCGTATATAATAAATTAAAATTTAGTATATTTATTATATTAATAATTCTATAAATAAATAATTCCATATTAGCAATTGTACCAAAAATATTTTATAAACACTTTACTTTCACTACTAACTTGTTCCTGTTAAATTTACTATTCTTTAAGAAATAACAGACACATAATAGACTGAACTAATTTTATTAAATATATGTACATTTAAAAAATGAGTCGCTCGATAAAATTATATGGAAACATTTTCCATTACAGAATATAGATACAAAATTATTTACAATATCGATCTGCTTTCATTTTACTTCTTCTATCTAATAAAGTTTCGTGTAAGTTTCCCTCGCGTTTTGCCTTCTCTAATTCAGAACGATTTGTCTGATTTATTTTCAGTTTTTTGTCCTGGAATTTTTGGAACTTCCGCCTAAAAAAAAAGTTTCCATAATTAAACTTCTATGACTATTGAATACAATTATTAATCATTATCATTACTTACACGTAATTTATTTCAACATCATGAAGAGAACCTTGCTCTTCTTTTGGAACATCTTTATTTGGATCTTGGGTTTTCTGAGTTATACTTCTTATTATACAAAATTCAGAGGAGCCAGCAGTTCTGCTCTGGCAAATAATATCGTCTTCGTCTGTAACTGACATAAAGCAATTGTTGCTATTTAGAATAGCAAGCTTATTATCCTAAAAAAATATTCATTTTTACATAGTTGTACATTGACACAATAAATAGTTATCAATAAGAATTATTATGTATTAATAACATACCTGAAAGATTGGTTCCCATTGTTCGATTGTGCCCACTGCATCGCTTCTTCCAACAACAATACCATTTTTATCAACACCTAAATATTTCCCATAACCAGATTTCAGTGCGACTTTAGTTTCACCTATTGGAAATGCTGTCAGAATCTCTTCTGGCGAAGGTCCTTCACCTTCATCGTGAGGTGCACCCAGAGTAAATAAACCATTGTCCAAAGCTTTCATGTATGTATGATTTCCAAATTCAATTGCCACTGTGCCAGTAACATCCAATACTTGTGTAGCTTTCCACCACCCACCTATGATTTAAACATGTCATAAGCTGTATAATAACATATATTATCACAAATAATAATATAAATAATCAAAATACCATGGGTCACAGTGTCTTTGTTTTCAGAAGTAGTAACATGTTCTTTTTCCTGCCGTTTTGCTTTTCGTTTCTTTGACCTATATATTTTACATATCAAGTTGTAATAAATTTATATAAAATAATAACATTGTTAGATCAACTCTGAGGTTCAGTTATACCTTATTTTTTCACCTTTCAAGACAAGTTTTCCTGTTCTAACTTTATCGTATTCTGACATTTTCACGATCTTCTGTTTTGTGTATACTCAAGCGCAAATCCAGTTTCCCTAGGAAAACGGTAGGCAAGGGGAGGCCTCTATCGCTCACTATACCAATCGTGCATTATGCCTAATTCACAGGGTTCAATAAATAATACATTTTCCTCAAACAAATTAAGGGGTGAAAAAATTTCACTCTGGGCTCAAAATACACTCCTGGAAATTAATGGTCAATTTTGAACTTTGACTCTATGCGCAGTAACAAACTGTTTAAATAGTGCAGTTTATGGACTGAAAAATTGGTTTCCATCTAGCGGCGGGACGGGTGAACTAAACCTAAAAAATGAGAGTGCACACGCATATAAAGAAAAAAAAAATAATATTTCGGCACTTTGACGACGTAGTATGGTTCCTGAGGCATTTAGAAACAAATTTCTATTATGGTTTGATGTGTTTTGATGCCTAATAAAGCCAGAAAATCAATTTTTGTCGAATTCGGTCCAAAACGGTACAGGTGGCGCCATCTAGCGGCGAGCGGCGGAACTACGAAAAACTAAAATTACAATTTTCTCCGAAATTAGGCAATTTTACGAATTTCTGAGAGTCAGAAATTGTTCTGTGACCTCTCTAGAACCTATATAGTACCGCAAGGACTTCCTCAGAGCGCTAGAAAAGAAAATAAAAAAATAGGTCAAAACATGGACTAAAAAATTGGCGTCCATCTAGCGGTGAAAGTTGGAACTACAAAAATATAAAAATGCGATTTTCTCGAAAAT